ATGGCCTGATGGACTTCGTAGTACTTTGGAGATGTAAATCTGATCCTGTCTTTGAAATGGTAACATCTAGGTTTTTAACTAAACAACCTTCCAGTTGAGCTCACATCTGAAACAAGTTAAAATATTTTAAAATGCTTAAACTGCCTGCCTTGGATTCCTTACAGCATTGACAAAAAAGCACCTCACCCTGTGGTCTAGTAGCTAAGATTCTGTGCTTTTAGGACTGGGGCCCAGGTTCCATTCTCTTTCTGGAAACCAGCTTCATTCATTTTAAAGTTATTTTTATGATTCTTGACCTTTTGGGGTACCTATTTGTTACTGATCCTTTATGCTTCCATAGACATCCTTTGATTCCCTGTCTTTGTAACTCTTTCATATAGGGCTTTTGGGCCTTCATGTGAAGGTGCTCAGCTGAGAAGCTGAGATCCTCTAAAATATGGCTGGACAGAAATGTGGGTTTGACTCCATTTGTAACTAGGAAGACTTTTCTTTCTTTGAGCTCTGTTTGGGTTGTTCTTGATCTTGTGAGGACTGCTTTGCCTCTTATGTGTTAAGCGCGCATCTGATTGAAGAGGCAACCCAAACAAGCTTTGTATGAGCAACAAGGCTGTTTATCCAGGTGTGAGTGGGCTAAGTTTGAAAAGGGAGTCAGTCAGCATGGAAGTGGAGGGCAGGTTAAGTTACATGCAAAGCACTGTCAAATAAGAAATAATGATTAACTTTCTTCAGCCTATATTTTAATGAATGTTATGAATATATGTTCCAAAATTGCATGGGAATTCTAAAATTCTAATATGTCTGAGTATATGCTATCAATCATAATTATGGTTAAGTTATTGTAGACCACAGAAATAACCATATTTCCTTGTCAATTGTGTCTTCAACTGTGACTATTTAAAGCCATTTCCATAGTTAATTGCTTTATTCTGATGCAGTTTCTGAAAACTTCACAAGCATGCAACATCCAAGAATATGATATATTTAAGGAGGTTCAGGAAAGGATGGAAAGGACCCTGAGAAGCACTCCTCAGTACAGGTTTCTAATAACTTTAGAATCACATCATTTGGACTGGGTAAGAATTCCTAGAACTTTAATGAAGATACTGACTAGTATATAAAACTGCTCACCAAAGCATAACAAACATACCAAGAAAGTATTTTGCATATTTTCATGCTAAATCAGTCAGTACTGAAAATGTTTAGATATGCAATTTGAATGAACTCCATACTCTAAGTAAAATTACCTATGATAGCCCATCAGTTATGAGTGCTATGCACCAAAATTAGAGAAACAACTGGTATTCAAGCAGACATAAGTCTATTGTTAAGCATAGGCTCATGGAAAACCAGGATGGCTGTCTTGTCCTTCCTGAGTCCTTAAAGCTATTGTTATTAAAAGTTCTAAATCCAAATTAAATACATATATTGGTGTGGTGACTTCTAAGTTGCTAAAATAGTTTATGACCAATGTTTGGTTTGTCAAACCCATATTCTTGGGAACATAAATAAAAACCTCAGGTATATTCTACTATTTGATGGGCTATTTAAATACTTCTAAAGGGATTTCATCCAATTGTCATTTTCAATGCATGTTTTCTGGTTATACAAAACTTTACCATGCAAGGAAGCTGATGTTATAACAGTAGCTTATTATTCCAAAGTGTATTTTCACCAGAAAGTTTTTAATGGTTCACTGACTGAGATCGACCTCCTCACAATATAGAACCCAAAGATTAGACATTCTAAGAACATAATTGAAAGACTATCCTCGCCATCCACACTGCAGCAAAACTTCTGAACCTCGAACCTTGGGTTCATAATCTCACAACTTAGAGGAGTCCCTCCTCACTCTCGGAACTATACACACATTGGAAAACTTAAGATAAAGCTAATCAAGGAAGCTTCTCCTCAGAAGAAAGTGGCATCCTTGATGTGGACAGCTTTGTCCCAACATCACAGATCAAAACTTCTCTACTATCATGAGACTGTCATCTTTGAATAGTTTTTCACTTACTTATGCCTCTATGAATGATAGAAATGAAAGGGGATCTACTGTGTGCACTTATGGGGTATTCCTTCATTTGTGAAAAAATTTGCAGCCAGCCTTATACATGGATAACCTTGTGCCTTGATAGATGGAAGATGAAGGCCTAATGTAGTTGAGAAATTTTAATGGTACATACATTGCCTCACAGTCGGTCAGAAACAGAACACTGGTCCACTCCTCTTAACCTACATCATAGGCTAAAAAGAACACTGCCAGGAGATCTTCGCTCTTCTGAAGGACATTGTTTGTTAAGTTCTTATTTCCGTGGTTTAGAGTAAATGAGGTAATAACTAGAAATTTATCCCCCATGATATACTTTATAGCAGATTCTACTATAGAGGCTATGGTTACATAACAGACTTTAAATTCTCTTGTGAAAGTTATGATAAACAATAGAATTACTCTGGATTACTAACTGGCTAAACAGATGTATCTGTGCAGCTGCTGGCAATTCTTCTTGCCCCTGAAGAAATACATCACATCCAATATTACAGAGATTAAGTCATAGGGTATTAATAAAGAGACTGCTTAAAGTAAGTAGACTCTTCATTTAGCTCCTTCTTTGGTCTATTTGATTTCAGTTGGTTTGGTTTATGGGGAACCTGGCTAAGGAGCAGACTCCAACTCTTGGTATTATCATCCTGACACTCTTAATAGTAGTTTCCCTGGTATACTGTGTTCTCTCAAAAATTTTAAATACTTCCATGCAGCCATCTCTAGAATGTCAAATGTTCTCTATTCAACTGGAATGACAAGAGCTGAAAGAAATATGTAACCATACATCTACACCATGGAATATTATACAGCCATCAAAAACGATGAGTTTATGTCCTTTGTAGGGACATGGATGAACCTGGAAACCATCATTATCAGCAAACTGACAGAAGAGCAGAAGATCAAACACCGCATGTTCTGACTCATAGGCGGATGTTGAACAATGAGAACACATGGACACAGGGAGGGGAGCACTACACACTGGGGTCTGTTGAGGGGAAATAGGGGAGGGACAGTGGGGGGTGGGGAGTTGGGGAGAGATAGCAAGGGGAGAGATGCCACATGTAGGTGATGGGGAGGAAGGCAGCAAATCACACTGCCACGTGTGTACCTATGCAACAATCTTGCATGTTCTTCACATGTACCCCAAAACCTAAAATGTAATAAAATAAAATAAAAAAAGAAATATGTGACCATAAAGGCCCTGTAATCCATGAATGACATGCTGATACCAGAAATCCAAAATGATGGCAACTGAGAGTGGTGCTAAGGCCCTAATGTTTGGTCACACTCTCCCCATGCGAGAATCTGACCAAAAGGCGGGAGCTTTAAAACAAATTCTGGGAGGCTATTGTTTGCTCTGACAGACCAGACCAAACAAAAATGGAATCACTTATGCTAAATGTGACATAATCAAACTAAGACATTAAGGAAACACACAGATTTTAGAACAGACCACATTTTGTTTCTCCCTTCTCCCCTGTAAAAAGGACATTGTAGCATAAGTAGGTACTCTCTATTCTAGCCCTTACAAAAAATAACCTTACGACCTTGTTTCCACCTTACAAAACCCACTGTTCTGCTATTTCCCAGTGGGTTTCAAAACAGAGTAAGTACATTTACAATGGTGATAGTGACATCAATGACTAAAGTTTTGATAATTCTCTCAAAATTAAGTGGATGACCAAAAGAGGGGAATTGTTAAATCAAGTTTAGCCTAAAGCTACCTCCTTATGTATTCTAAGTTCAGCCTAAAAGTTTATCTGTACATCATGAACTATAACCTAAATGGAATTATAGACTGCAGCTTGCTCTTGTGCCAATCACTGAGTTTTGGCCAATGAATGGTGGCTAATTGTTTAAACCATGTTCAAATAAGGCAAATGCTGAGGTGTGACCAACCCCGCTGTTTCTGTACCTCACTTCCATTTTCTACATGGCATTTCCTTTTTCTGTCCATAGATCTTCTTCTACATGTGGCTGCACTGGAGTCTCGAGCCTTCTCTGGCACAGGAGTCTGCCTGATTTGCAAATCATTCTTTGCTAAATTAAATTCTTAAATTTAATTTAGCTAAAGTTTTTAACAGTATACATGGTCAAGTAATTTTCTACAAGGCCACCGAGAAGAACAAGGTGGAAAGAGTAGTCTTTCCAATAAATGGTGCTGGGAAAACTGGATATCCACACACACAACAATGAAACTGGTCTCTTATCTTATACCATACACAAAAATCAACTCAGAGCCAGTTGTGTTAAAACACACACATATATGCATGTTCAACCACACTCACAGAAAATTGCGTGAAGCCCTAATAGAGTGAGATACAAGATGTATTTCTCTTTTAGCACATGTGATATCACTTCCATAGCATCTAGTGTTATTTTTGTGCTGCCCAGGACTGGATCTTTATACAATAGCTATAAAGTAATGTAATTTTCAGCTATGGAGCAGTTCTATAGAATTTTCACCACTGCCTTGTGCTTTCCTATCCATGCTCTCTTTAAATAGCATGTAGTCTAAAGAATGGTGAAGAAGAGTATTCTCAGAGTGGGAAGGGAAGCCCAAATATGTCTTTTCCTTTGTATGAGAAGTAAAACCTTTTAAAATACCATCAACATCTATTAACTTCCTTCTTACTTTGTCTATCATTAAGCAAAGCAATGATGTTATCTACAACCTTCTAGAACAAAACATTGTGTGAATCACATCCTTCCCCCTGGCCAAGGTGATAAATCCTAGCTCAGCAGAGTCCTATGGAAACAGGGCTCTCAAAGACAGTCCAGTACACAGGAAAGCGAACCCACAGAATGATATTAGTTAAAAGCAACTTTCACCAGAATTCCTAACAAGGGTAATTTTTAATTGCTAGCAGTGTACATAATTCAGTGATGCAGATTTCAAATATACATCAAAAAGGTACACAAATCTGTGTAAACTTTTAATTCCCAATATACTTACTTTTTAAATTTTTATTTTCAAAAGCTTGTCTCGCTTCTTTGAATATGCAGACTTCCTCTTTGTATTTGCCATCAATGTTGGGTAGCATTTTAATACTGAATTGGCTTTTTTCCTGTGAAGAAAACTAAAAAGATATATAATTATAAGCAAAAAAAAAAATTTTTTTTGAGGCAGTGTCTCAGTCACCCAGGCTGCAGCACAGTGGTGATTATGTCTTACTGCACTCTTGACCTCCCAGGCTCAGGTAATCCTCCCACCTCACCCTCCTGAGTAGCTGGGACCACAGGTGTGTACCACCAAAACAGCTGGCTAATTTTTATTTATTTATTTATTTTTTTGTAGAGACTGGGTTTTGCCATGTTGTTCAGATGGTTTTGAACTCCTAGGCTCAAGGAATCTGCCCACCTCAGCCTCCCAAAGTGCTGAGATTACAGGTGTGAGCCACCACACCTGGCTGAGAGTAATTAAAAAAAAAATCCCACATGACAATATACCAGATGAAAACTGCTATGTACTCTCTAGAAAACAGCCAGCATCATAAACCTCTTTCTTAGAGTCAGAAATGGAGTAACACTTAACTCCAAAGCACTGCATCTGCTATCTTCCTCATCATGTGAGTACCTCCTTTCAGTAGCAGTTGCCCTGAGCAGGCACAGTGACATAATTAACTGTGTTATATTCAGACATTAGCACATTCCTGAAACCAAGGGTGTTTATGATAGCAGTATTTATACTCTTTAGTATAAGTAGATAGCCCAAGGCATTCTGCTGTTGGAAAGGAGCAGCCAAATCAAAACCCAGCCTCTAGACAATGTCTTTGTCCTGCTACCTAAACATAAATAAAACTTCAACTGGCCTATATAATATAAACCCAGAGAACCATTAGTTTTATGAAAAGATAGGTGACAAAACAACATTGAGGAGTTAAGATACATTTGGCCAAACCCATTCCAAAAAAGAAATAATAATTTCTTTTTAAATAAAATTTAATTATGTATAATGTGACATTTTAACACATGCAACCCTATTCCACTGCCCCTCAGAAAAAGAAAATTCTTCTCTGTGATATATGAAGATAGAGCCACATAGATAATCAAAATGTATACCCGTGATTCCCTGTGCAGTAAATAAGGCAGTAGCTATATATGCGCTCATGGAGAATTATTTTTACTTTTCTATACAAGTAAACATAAAATGTACTTCAATTACATATATCTAAAAAGAAATCTTTTTTTTTGTTTTTATACATAAATAAAATGCCACCAGAATTAAATTCCTGTTAATATAAAAGGCTTACAACATTTCTTGATCTTATAAATTTCTAACTTATGAAAAGTCACATTAGTGCAAGATTTTAAAAAATTTTTATTTTCCAAAGGACTTTTTAAAATATTCATTTTCCAGAGAACATTTTGAGATAAATGAAAAACAGAAGTGCTTTTTTGTAGAAAAAAAATGTCTACTCAATGAATTTAAATTTTACTTAATTATAGATATGTATATTTCACATAATAGAAAACAGATTCTTCACCTAGTATTTTTTTTAAATATCCAAATTGGAATCAGCTAGATGACACACAATAACAACAATAGTAGGCCCACAATGAATGTTTCCATCCTTCCATACTTCATAAGCATAGCCATCCATAAACAGACTTCAAGCATGGCTGAGTAAAGAGGTCACTGAGTTACCTTTGCATAAAGCAATGATAAACTAAATAAAATTGTCAAAGAAAAACATTTAAGTATTCTGGAAAAAGGCAAATTGAAAGTGTTTATTCAAGAAATACAGTGGATTTGTGGCATTATTAGCCTAAACTCCTGCCATGCTGCCTCCCTACCCCTAACTCTGTGGTGTAGCACTTATACTGTGGTATAGCAGCAGACTTTAAGCCTAGATGATAGAAAGGGCCGATTTTAAAGTAAAATCTATGCTTAGGGATGTTGTTGAAAACAGTAACTGTTTTAGTGGCAAACAATCGAGAAAGATCAACATCACAGCTAAATTGGGGTTGCAATATGGGTTGGGGTGAGCTACAGATAAGAAAATCAGCTGTAAATTTAACAGAGAGATCCAGCAATAAGACAGCCATAATGAACTTTAAGAAGCTCCCATATATCTCAACTGTTAGGAAGGGCTATATTCACTCAGGAAAATCCAGCGATTGCCCTAGCTAGCAACTTGTCCCTGGCTGTATGTGAAGCCTTGCATATTCAAAAAGTAAAAGCCAAGGCGGATTTGTAAACTTTCTGAACTTTGAATGTGACTATATTTGGAGATAGGACCTTTATGGAAGTAATTAATGTTAGATGTCATCATAAGGATGGGATACCCATTCAATAGGACTAGTGTTCTTAGAGTGCATATGCACTTGCTCTCTTGCTTTCTCTCTATTATATGAAGACAGAACAATTATCTGGAGATACTGGAGAGAAGCCAATATCCTAAGCCAAGAGAAGAGGCCTTAGTATGACTCTTACCTTTCCAGCACCTTGATCTTGGACTTCCTAGCCTCCCTAATGGTGAGAAATAAATTTCTGTTAAGTCACCCAGTCTATGGCACTTTGATAATGTACCTCAAACTGACTAAGACAGGGTATTTAAGGACAAAATCTGACAAACTGAAGGCTGACCATGCTGTACTGCCAGGAAAGCTCTAGGTGTCAAGGTTTAAAGATTAAAAAAAAATAATAATAAGACTTTAAAAAAATAAGTAGAGACATTAGTAGCTACATACTACAAGAGAGACAGACTCTATAGAATGAATATGGGCAAAATCTGTAGCTGCTGCAATACAATATCAAAAATGTTCACTTCTAAAAAACAATTCTAAGACAAGCAAAGAAGCAAGAAACTGACTTGTACACAGGAAATAAAGCAATAGATGAAAACTATCCTGGAAGAAGCTGAAAAATTAGAAGGCAAAGATGTCAAACCAACTTTTATAAATATATTCAAAACTAAGGAGCCATATTTAAAGATGTATCCCAAAACCTAAAATGCAATTAAAAAAAAGTTGAAATAAAAAGTACTAAGACAAGCAGCTGTCAAATAGAAAATAAAGATACAGAAAATACAAAAATTATCGAGTATGAAAGTATAATAACTGAAATGGAAAAATATCACTATAGAGGCTTAAAAGCAGATTTGAACTAGCAAAGAAAGAATCCAAAAATTTGAAGGTAAATCACTAGAGAAAACTGAATGGAGACTCACAGACCAGTGGAATACATCAAGCACACCAATCAATATATGAATAATTGGAGTCCTAGAATGAGAGGAGCAAGAAAGAAGAAAAGATTTTGAAGAAATAATGTGTGAAAATCTCCCAAATTTAATGAAAAACAATCTCATCTAACCTGATCAACCAAATACCATTTTAAAAAATACAGAGATATGGCTGGGCATGATGGCTCATCCCTGTAATCCCAGCACTTTGGGAGGCCAAGTTGGACAGATCACCTGAGGTCAGGAGTTTGAAACCAGCCTGGTCAACATGGCAAAACCCTGTCTTTACTAAAAATATAAAAATTAGCTTGGTGTAGTGGCAGGTGCCTGTAATCCCAGCTACTTGGGAGGCTGAGGCATGAGAATCGCTTGAATCCAGGACACAGAGGTTGCAATGAGCCGAGATCATGCCACTGCACTCCAGCCTGGGCAACAGAAGGAGACTGTTTCAAACACACACACACACACAGATCTATCGCTAGACATGCCATACATTTTTGAAAGAGAGAAAAAGAAAAATGATTCAACACATAGAAGGAAACCACATTGAGAACATAAACTAATGTCTCGTTAGAAACAGTATCATCAGAAACAATGGAGGCCAGAAAGCATTTGAGATATTCGAAGTGCTGAAAGGGAAGAAAAAATTACCAACCAAGAATACTATATAAGCAAAACTATCATTTAAAAATGAAGACAAAATAATGACATTCCCCAATAAAGGAAGGCTATTAGAAATCACTGCTAACAATCTTGCCTTGTTAAAAAAAAAAAAAAAAAAAAATCTAAGGTTCTTCTATCTGAAAGAAAACAAGAGCACAGAGTAACTAGAATACACAAAGAGCTAAAGACCACAGGGAAATATAAAATGCTGCATACATTTTTCTGTTTTCTTAACTGTCACAAGCTAGGCATAATTCCCATTTTATAATGTACAAGTAGTAGAATTTTACCATCTTTTGGCTGTCAAAAGGCAGATTGTAAGTGAAAATATGACAATATTCATGACACACCAAGTATCCTGTCCTTCAAATACTTAA